AAAGAAAACGGTGGAATCTTGTTGTTGTGGAGGTCCTCCGTCAGAGGGACCCCGCCGGTATAGTCACGCTCCGGGAGTCGCATTTTGTTTGAAGGCACAGAAGCGCACGTACTGCGGCATACCTAGACTTATGTGCTAACCGAACTCTGGGAATGTAGATGCCGAGAAGTTGGAGAAAACCGGTGTGGATGCCGCGGGATTCGTAAGCGTGGAGGGTTATGGAAGTTTCGGGGGCCGGCGCAGCATGAGAGGCTTCATTGGTTTTTATGTATCGCCAGGTTAGTAGACTAGAATTTAATATGACTGGTAATATACCATTTGACGTGAATTCCGGACAGTAGTTGTTGAGTGGTATGCTTTGAGATGGACCCTGCGGGCCGAAGAATATACCTCCAGGTATATATCGCCAGCAGAGTTCAATAATGGTTCCTGTCTCTTGTTGTCCACTTCCAGGGCCCATGCGACTCCTGTGTTTCGGTGAGATGCAGCCTCATCTGGCGCGCGGATCATGAAGGGTACGTGCCCGATATTGGAGGTGCAAAGTGGTTCGTCCAGACCCGAGCAAGGCAACTACCGCCATTCAACCTATCTGTCACTCGAGCTTTAGGAGGTAACTTTGTTCTTTCACGTCTTTTAGCGCAGTCAGTCAGCTGGGCGCGGCTAGCTTTCTATATAACAGGAGCGTCTCCCTATCCTTTGCAAAAAAAGAGATAGACATCACGCTTCATATAATTTCAGGAAGGCTTCTATCTCACGCTCCGCACGCTCCGCACGCCATGTCCCGCCGTCCGAGGCAGCAGGCCCAAAACCCGCCCAGTCGGACTTCTGGCCAACCTGAAGATATATCTACTGAATGTCCCAAATAGCCCGAGACACGCGCTATTTCCCAGGAGCAGCTTGTTACCGAGGTCAAGGACATCTATGCTGGCCTCGTTATGGTCGAGAGCAAATGCATCGAGGTTGACAACGCCCAGAATGCCGAGGCAGGTCCGGGAAACAAGCCTATCAACCATGAGCAATGGCAGGCCTTGATCACCCTGCACCGCACTTTGCTTCACAGAGGAAAGGGCTATTAGGGTGCAGAATAACTTGTGGAAGATGGGTAGAATAGAACCTGAAAATTGAATCCATCGAATTGACCAAGATGTTCATCGTCAATGTTTGGGTCTTCCAAATATACAATATTCTCCCCCTAGTTTTTGGACTGTGTCCTAGCTCTTGGGCGGTGACTTGTCACTGGTAGTAGTCCAGCTCCCATGGACAATCATCACAACTGGCCTTGGAGAATATATCCAACAAGCCGCTGCTCCTATCTTATTTCCAGCTCTTGTGGTATCGGCAGTGGTAATAGGATAGCTTCCATTGGCAATGGCCACACCGCTTTTTGATGCCTTGTAACCCAAGACGTTTTCGGCTGCGAGGTTTTTTTGGAGAGGTCGGTTGTGATTTTGCGTGGTTGTTGCTCTTGTCGCTGAAATTGCAGTGGGTGGGATCCATGCGAGGGGGTGGACAACAGGATAGGAGGGTTGCAAGTGTTGGAAGGGAGAGAGGGGATGGTGAGTGCTGTATGGACAGAGTTTACAATGTTGAGTGTGCCAATGTTGATGATGGTGCTAGTCGGTGTGCTGGAACTGGGAACTGAGGCGAGACTGTTGCCGATGCTGTTGTCACGCTGGGTCTGGACAGGAATAGGAGCTGTCACGGCTGCGGCGATAGTTCTATCGTAGTTGTTGTACCCTTCTGGATAAATAAGAAGGCTATGATACACTGGAGCAGCTACGTAAGCCTGAGTATAAGCCTCTTGACCGTGGCCATGGGTAGCGTATCCTGAATTGAAGCCTTGGTAAGCGTTGTAGGGCTGTCCAATCGAAGCATAGGGGTTCCACGCCGGATCGATGCTGTAGGGACTAGTCATCAACGGGGCCTCGGGATATGGCGCCACAACATGGCCTCCATACGGCTGCGCGTCCCCATAAACTGCCGGAGGCCCGGAGGCCATGTTCGCCAAGGCCGGTATCATACCACCGGCCGCACCACCTTGGGTAAAGCCATATCCATAAGCCGGAGCGGG